CTAATTTTTTTCGGTCGTTCTTGAATCTTTCCTATTTTCCTGCGTTTTAAGAAGATCAAATCGACTATTCAGTCTCTGCCTATGCTCTGTACTTCTATAAAAAAAAGAAATCGGTCAATCAGAACTCAGGTATTCATTGTCTAGTTTTTAAGATCCTATAATGCTGCTTTTAATTTTGCTTTCACACGTTTTCACTGAGTTTTCTGCCTGTAAGTTGCTTTGGCTATGACCCACCGAAATTGTTACCAATTTAGTTCCATTCTTCTTTAAAAAATATTGATTTTGTTTCGCCACAATCGGTAAACCATTATCAGAAACACACAGTTTGGGTATTCCAAACATCAAAAATGTTTACCGGAGCTTTTGTTCTGTATTCTGCGCAGACATGTTATTCATTTGATGTACTATTGGATACTTACGAAAAGCATCTACCACAATTAAAAAAAAAATCTATATGAATTCTTTCCCATACTTCTTTAGAAGGATCCCATGGTGTTAATGGAGTTTTAGATGGACTTTTCCTATTCTGCAAACCAGGTACACATCTGGATATCCGCAGCCAATACATATAAGACCTTGACCAACTATAAGCTTTGTTCACTCCTAAATGCGCTGTATATAGTTCTTATACCTTAATTTCTTCGAGATAATCACTCTATGCCCCCAGCATAAAATTCATTTTTGGTACGTGATCTTATCTTTTTTTAACCAATACAGCTTCAATTTTTGTTCTACGTTCGTCAGCTATTGATCCCTTTTGACCTAGTCTCTGATATTCTCCAAATGTACATCCAGTCTTGTTTCTGCTGCTACTCTATCACAGTCGATAGGATAATCCAGCGCTGTATTGGCAGATTTTTATATTCTTCGAAAATTGTTGTAAGGACTCTTTTAATCTGTCTCAGAATAAATGTTTGTCCTCCCAAGTATTTTTCAAACTTTTTTACTGAATAAAAAATTGCAAGGCTTTCCGTTTGCACTGTACTATAATTAGACTAACTTGACATCAGTCTACGTGAAATACAAATCATTGGGATTTCCATACCGTCTTCTCCGATCTGGCTGAGCACACCAATGACATCATAATTGCTCGCATCTGTTGTAACCAGAACGATATCATCTGCTATTCTCCGTTTAATCTCAATGAATGTATCCTCGCATTCTCTAGTCCATCTAAATACAGAGTTTTTCTTTAATAAGTTATATATCGGTCTCAACAGAGTTGCTAAATTTGGTAGAAATTTAGAATAGTAATTGACTAAACCTACAAAACTCATAACTTCGACTTTATCCATTGGTCTACTAGCTCTTACTATTGCTTTAACTTTATCTTCACTTTTTCTGTTACCATCTTTACATATAACAACTCTCAAAAAATTTATTGAGTCTTGGAATAGACACTTTCTTTATAGTAGGTTCTGCCTCCCGCAGTATTGCAAAAACCATTTCCAAATTTTTCAAGTGTTCCTCATCGTTTTCTGCGGTTATTAAAATATCATCATAAAAATGCATATATTATCTAAACCCATAAATAATTGTTCTATATTTCTTTGACAAATTTGCGCCCTTGGGGTGATTTCATAAGACATTCTTACACATTTATAAAGATTCTTATGTGTACTTAAAGTGTATTTGAGATGCTTCATTCAACTATACTGAGCGTCCTTTTGGGACAAATCAATTTTACTAAATCTCTCACCTCGATAAACCTTTGCAAACATGCCTTTCACGATTGGAACCGGGTGTCTGACCTCTTGGTAGCTTTGAAAAGTCGACATAGCATCAGTCTTCCATCGTTCTTCTTTCTCCAATCAGTCTATTTCTTCTCCCACTTGATCTCACTATGCATATGGCACGTTTCTAGGATTCACAAAGACAGGTTTCGCATCAAGTTTCAACTGCAAAACTAACCGTATTATACCTGTACAATCCTGGTTTTGATGAAAAAAATATCTCTATACTTTGCCATCAATTCTTCTAGGCTTTTACATTCCATCAGTGCATTCATAATATTTAATTCGACTTTAAATTTGCAAAGAAAGTCACGTCCCACTAGATAGTTCTACCATCCTTTATCACAAAAAATCGTACTTGATTTACTTTACTGTTGCAAAGTATATCACATTCAAAAAATTCCCTGATTTTAAAGTTTTGTCCGTCATAATGCATGTGGAATCACCACACATACAAATACTCGCTCCAGAGTCGATTTGTACATTATGCACTTTATCATTAATGATAATATTTATTCCATATGGATTTGATGTAAATTTTGTCTTAGCCATTGAATATAGTTCTTCTGTTTCTGTTATATTGTCTTCGCTTTCCGCCTATCAACATAATTTTGAATTTCTCTTCGATTTTGTTTACAAAATTAACGAATGCCCCTTCTTCCTGCACACGGTACAAAAATATTTGGAGTAGTTACATTTTCCTTGGTGGTTCTTACCACACACACATTTCTCCATACTGTCTAGCAAACTTCGACCTCGGAATGTATCTTGCCTTCCCGTCGCCGTTGTCCAAACTCGCCGACTGTTGTGGTGGGCCTCCTTTATTCTGCCGCTGTATTTTTCTGGATATGGAATAGACATCGTCCCCTTTCGCCGTTGCTGTGGACTCTCTCTGCACCGCTAACTTCACTAATTCTTCTTCGTAGTTCAATTCGAGACTTTTAAATGTCGCATACCATTGGGACGCTGTTTCATTAACTATTTGCCTAGCTGAAAAAAACGAAACTCTTTCGCGCCGGCAAGATGTTTGGGACTAAATTGTTTTTTTAATAGTTTGACTAGCTCATTGAGCTATTGGTCTTTGGGCAAACTAGGAAGACATAAGTCTCTTTATAATTTGTATGTTTCCCAACCAACAAGACGGATAAATGTTTTTTACTATTTTGGTTTATATCATTAGCGAAGAAATACTGCTACAACATTTTCAAATACACTATCATAATTTGACAATTAAATTGTTCTACATGTCAAAAGCATAGAACACGTTCCAAACTTATACCCGAGCTGCGGGACCGTCTAAGCGCAAAAACACAACTTTCTATATTTAGACTCAAAATTATTCGACGATTCTCGTTAACTTGGGGAAAAATTCGATGAAACCGCAAGTCGAAACACGTAAATATCAATGCCACCGTACAAAAAACAATTAAACTTAACACTTATAAAAATCGCTCATTTCATTCGATTATTCCCATCCACGATTACCTTTTCACATTAATTTCTAAAATTCGTTATATCTTCGTCGTCATATTACATATTACTGAGTTTAGAAAAAATGTCTAGCGTCACCTTTAAAATCGTCGTTTATTATGTAGTTTATACGGTAGTGGTCGAAACGGAAGAGAACTTCCCTATCTGAATTTACCTTCTACGTTAAGGACTAATTTGTTTGCGCCTGTGTGAGATTACAGAGACGTCTTAAGGAGAATTTACGTATCTGATGTCCTCAGAATTATAATTAAAGATAAGTCGTAATTGTGGCTTAAACCACAGTCTTGAGTGTGCATCTGGAAAAAAAAATTAAATGACATCTTCCTTTTAGGCTGTTCCATGTAAGTTTCCACTTTTTAAACATTCCGAGATTTTCTGGTTAGATTAGTCATTTTAGCCATCTAAATTTGAATCTAGATTACAATAAGTATAACAATTTTTAACTGGCAATTTTTTGATGGCAGACACGATGCAATTTTTTTGAGGAAAATGTGCTTTGTTATTTCGATGGAATTGCGTTATTGAAACTTGTCTTTTAAATTTTTTTGCCATGCATATGTTTTGCGGGAATATAAGAAACATCTATAATCAAAATACTAGAAACGAGAGAAATGAGGATGTTTCTTTGAAGTGCTGAACAAAATATACTAATTATATTAATTTATTAATTCTCCAAAACTAACTTGTTTTATAAGTCTTTAATTTTCTTGGTTATATTTTCTAATACCTAAAATTTTGTGACCAAATTGTCCATTTGAACTTAACACAATTATATATTTACTAGACTTGCGGTGAAGGAATTGGCGTTCTGTCTATAGGAGCTGCTTTTTTCCACTCAGATGTTTCTTGTACCATCTCAAAATTATATTTGGACTTTTAACAACCATCTTTCGTGATTTCGACTTTGTTTACATTTTCAATACAGATTAAACCTATGAGTTTATGAAAACTAACGCTTTGCGCCGATTTGCAAGCAAAAAAGAAAAAAGAATAGCTTGCATGAAAAAATCCATGTGGAAATTGCATCGTATCTACAGGCAAATTAGTTATGGAATTATACTGATGTTGACGTGGGTGCTGCAATTCTGCACTGCTTTTTCACAACTTAACTTCTTTTTTTTCTAAAAATTTAATAAAATTTCGACATATTTTGACAAAATAATGTCGTAAAAATGTCGTATCCAAACATTGACAACGTGTCAGTGGCCATGTTGCTTGTTGAAAGCCGCAAGGTCTTATGGGTCCAACGTCAGAATTTGCAATTAGAGTCATCAGCCTTGCCTATCAGCATAGACAAGGCCTCCATATGTCTAGTAGCTATATGGGTGTAGCAAATAGGGCTTTTACCGAGGTTTGGACAATAAAATCTGATAAGCCGCAGGCGGCAGTGATATTTTACCTGCATTTCGGGTCATTTTTTTCTAAACAGCGATTTCTACGATTCCGATTATCCTCAATGAAAATATATTTTCTTATGATTTTATCTTTGAATCTGCGCTAACTTCTTTCATCAGGAACATAGAAATACATCTGGAAGCGGCGGCAGGAGCTACCCTTCGTTCCCAATTCTAAATTTGATGTAGTCATTAGGTGAAACGGTGTTGCCGAAACCTGAGTGAGTTTTACGCAAAAGTTTCTTTCTCTCGTCCGCCGCATCGAAAACAGCGAGTATTTTTCCGCACGCGAATGCCCTTTGCGTGGTGAACGTTCCGCGCATCTTTTTTAAATTCGTGCGTCTGCTTCTGGCATCGGGACGCGCGGCGTCAGTAGTGGAGTGTCCGTTGCAGAGGCGTCGCCGTAAAGTCGCTCGATCGTAATCTCGACCACGGAACATCGTTTGGTGAATTAAACTTTGCGAATCGATCATCATCATCGCCGAAAGCCGCCAATTTGCTCGCAGGAATCGCAAAGGTGAGCGTCATTCCTGAACTGCTTCGCGAAACGCTCGGGTGGGCGGATAATTTTTAATGATTATTTACCGACGCGGTCTCAGAACAAGCACCCGCCGGGTAGGGATCACACTGGCGATTTTCTTTTGGCTTCAATTCTGGAATAACGCATAGCCAGATATTTTTGGGTTTTCGTTGACCGTCATAAAAACTGCAAATAGAGAAAACATTCGACGCGTGCCCAATGTAAAAAGTTTTCGAACCACGCCGAGCTTTAAAAATAAATCCGTACGATCAGCTGATGTAGACGACGTATATTTAGAGATTCGATTTAAATTTAGTTTAGGCATAGATCGACTATCAGACAAAAGTAGAGCAACAAAGTTCCTTTTTATTTATGTTTGATTGAAAAAACTATTGGTTTGCGATTTTTGGCTAAGTTTAATGACACATCATTCTTACACTGAAAGTAATATTTCCGACGAGTGAGAACATTATCATCTTATGAACACCAAAAGGAATTGTACGCCCGATTGCCCCACAATTTCTAATATAATGCCTCCTAGTCCCTACAAGTCTCTCCAATGCCCCCACACTGCCTTATAATGCCTCACAATGCATCACAGTGCTCGCACAATGTCTACATATTAAAAGGCAACCAAATGGAAAAATACTTAAGTAAACTAAATTAAAAACCATTCGTTTCATTTCAATTAAATTTGATAGTTATATACCATTTGAAGACCTGATTACATCTACATGCTTTCACTCCTCAGGAGCGTAATAAATGGAAATGTTTAAGTAAAAATTCGAAAATTCTCCCATGATCTCTGACTTACGGAATAAACATAGCCTTTTTATTAATAAAATATATTTTAACTTAAAAATTCTTAACACGAACAAAAAATATAACAATTCTAATTCGAGGTAAAAAAACCAAAACATTAAATTTTGTTTGGCAACACTCCAATATCGATTGTTTAGGTTGGTAATATAGGCTCAAAATTCATAATTTTTAACTTAGTTTTGTCTATTGAAAAATAGTTCATCCACACTGGTTTTTTCTTAAATTTCCCTAGTAGAATTGCTCGTTTGCCTTTAGAATACACACAAATTCATGCAATGTCCATACAATGTATATAATGGCGCAATACTCATACCTTAATTCCAATTTTCAAAATCCTTCTGTCCTCACAGCTCGATTTTTTCACATTTTTTCACACCCATTTGAATAACGCTGGTAACTTCTATTGTCTAAGGCTACGAAGGTTATATACCAGATTACACCGTTCAAACAAGGTGGAGTTGGGTCGAGTCAAGCGCTTGGATTGTTAAAGATGTTACCATACATGTTCCGCTATTCTTTGAATTTCACCCCTCATTATGTGTTCCTTTTGTTTTTCAACTCTAAAGATTAAAGGTCTTCTTGTTTCCCCAATCTATGACTCTCACATTCACAGGGTATTTGGTGGATACACTCTTTTTCTTGAGTCGATGAGGGCAAAATTTGAGCAACAATATTTAGAGCAAAAATATTTCACGCATTTACAATTACATTTACATTACAAAATTAATTTTCATGTAGTAATTGTAATTTTACAATTACAATTACTACATGAAAATTAATTTCCTGTACATGGCAGAGCTGTGGCATAGCACAAAAAATATATATTTAAAGCAATGCACTCATCGGCGTTGCTTGCCCCGTTGTAGTTGTAAGCAGCTTAAAAGCGTTACTACACAACTGTTTGCCAGTCGTTCGCTTTATTTTTTGTGTGCTTTTAATAAAGCGCGCCCTTTTTCGTTATTTGATATCGGTTTAAATGGCGAATGTTAATTATAAAGTTTGGCACGTGCAGCTTCCGCATATCGGTGTTAAGGCATCATTTTCGTCGGTTCATGAATATTAATGCTAATGTAATGAATGTAATAAACACATCTCATGAAATAACAATGTGATAGCCTGCCTCAACATATTATCGAGTAAAAAATATAAATATTTGTTTAATGCTTGACAGGTTCTGACCAGACACTATAACGAATTTTCCTAGCAGGATATCGATATCACATGCTGTAAAAACTTTCCGGCAACAATATTAACGTTTATTATAATCCCTAGTCCAGCAGCATATAATTTTCTTTTATTATCTTCTTCGATACTTCTGAACCAGAAAACTTGATTTTTGATATCGATGAACTAATTCTCCTGCACTACTATTATAATAAAACGCTTCTTATCAGAGTTTCGCTTCGCTTGGGAGAGTCAAATTCTATAAATAGAGAGGTCATGCTACAATAGAATTCCATTTAAAAAAGGTACCCTTTCCTTACTTACTTACTGTGACTTCATCAAATGTTTTGAACTTCCGTAAGAAAAAATTTACAGAGTTTTTAATAGCAGGGGTTAACTCGTACCATGTAATGCCTATTAAAATTATAACCACTTGCCAGACTCTGTTAGATTTAGAATCAGTGGAAGCAAATTTAAAAACCCACATTTAGTAAGGCAATATTCTTCTTGGAGGACTTTTTTCAGATCAACTGGGAGAATGGGTGAATGATTGTCGGGTTGTGTATAAGTCGTATGACTGAAGGAAATTTTATATTTTGTCGTAATATGTATTGTTCCCGTATTGTATTTGTTTGTAGGTCGTTTTTGAAGAAATATGCGTACCTATGGGTGCCAATATTGTTGTGAATTTGATTAAATAAATAAATAAATAAACAAATAAAAGTTGAAATATAGGCAATAACTCTTAACAGATCTTCTCAATTTTCCATCCGCTTCACGGCATCCGCACTGATCTCAGTTCATCAGCCCAGTGACAGAGGAGCACAGAAACGAATCCAAAGTTCATTCAAATTTTACTTGTTTTTCTGATAGTAATGTCTATCAACAAAAATTTTAATAGAAAATTGTTAAGTAAATTGGGCACGAGAAAATGCTGGAAATTATTTTTCAGGTTCTTTAATGGCCACCAGAGGGCGTAATGGATATCTTCAATTTTAAAACTCGTTGTTCAGTTTTCAATTTATTATTTTTCGACTTCTTATGAATTTATATATATAAACCTATAGCTTATCGATTGGCCGCGAGTACAGCACCAAGAAGTTATTCTTCTTCCTTTCCTCGCGGTATTAAATTCTTGAACTTAACTGCGCCCTTAGGCGCATGCTCCACTAAAGATCACGGTGAAGCGCTAAATCGGTCGCTCTCATCATGTGGTTCAAAAAGTGCCGTTGAACGCATCAGGTCATACGCGTGGTGATCAACAAATTTCCCCACCACTCGAGGCACAGAGCACGCAGCACGGGCCGGCCCCTCCGGAAGGAAGACCAAAAGCGAGGTAGGGTCAGTTAAGTAATCAAAAATCCTTTGATCCTGTCTTGAGTAATTTTTGCGACTTCTTGCTGTGCCAGCTGCGGCCAAAGTCCGTTTCCGCGCGGAAAAAACACTCGTTTTCGGTAAAAAATTCTTAATAATAAAATAATCCTTTTTTGTTAGATACTTTTTACCATATCTCTATAAGGAAAGTGGTGGGGTTGCTAAAATATTTTCGGAGATAAATGTCAACTCCCAAATGGCTTAATGGATTTTAATAAACTTAGAGTAGTTAAAAACGGCTTTTCCTAGGCTATCCAACGCCCAATGAGTGAGATGAATGCGATTGAGTAGTTTTCTTACATATTGCAAAAGAAGTACAATTTTGGTTAGTATCTCCACTTTACGCTTTGTTATTAAAATAAAAGTTCGTTTTTAATATTAGTTTATATAAGTTATTCTATGATACCACAGACAGACTCATCAATATTGTCAAAAACTGTTTATTTATTTATTATCGATGTTTCGAGTAGTAAGTAGAAAACCATAAAGTATAAAGCATTTTCTTCGACATGAATTAATTCTAATTAACTAATTAAACTAGTTATACTACTGAATTTTGTTACTGTAATTGTGTTTAATGCAATAAAAATATCTTATTCGACTGCCGAATCACACGAAATGTTGGCTATGTTTTTTCAGTAAGATCAAAACGCATGTGTAGCTAAGGGGGTATACGCAGCAAATAAAGAGTAGTAGTACAACGCGATTTAGACGTTTGAGTCAATATTCGCGCGAAAGAAATCCACTGTTTAGGAACGAAGAAAATAGCATTAATGTTCTAGAATGTTTTTTAAATTTAATAAGAATAAGTTTGGACTTGGATATTATTAAAATATCGGTGCCCCGAATTAAAAAAAAACACTATCATATTGACAATAGGACCTCATAGAAACTGATTTATGCTAGGAGGTTAGACTACTATAACTGACAAAATATCATGGTAGATACCAATTTTTTATCTCGAATATTATGGACCGATGAAGCTACTTTTTCGATCAATGCAAGAGTTAATTTAAATAATATGCATTATTGGTCGCCAGTTAAGTGTCAACGTCTGGGTAGGTGTGAATAAATTTTGGGTGTTCGAATTATAATATTTCTTTAATGGTAAAGGTAACGGAAAAAACTATTTCAACTTTTACAAACGAGAAGAGATATGTAGCTGCATCGCGATGGTTGTCCAGAGAACTTATTTCCCGAAGGAAGGAATTTTTTAGACCTGACTTATCTGAACCGTAGGATAAAAAGGGGTAGTTTTCTGTTCTGGACTTTTACCTTTCTACCGCTGAAAATATGGTTGATCGTATCGGGAATGCTGAAATTAGTACAGCCGCATTAAATACAAGACGCAGGATAAATCCCTGTATAGAAAATGACGTGTAAAGACGTTTTCTAGACTTTTGGATCTTCAATTATTTTCGAAAAATAAAGCAAAATTATGTTTTTTAAATGTAAATTTTTGGATAATACGATTTACGTGGTTAAGGGAATTTCAAAAATAGATAAAAATCTATGGTTGTTTTGAATATTAAACCTAATATTTATGGTTTGAAACAAAATATTTGTTTTCGTCACTTGGCCACATTCACATTTATACAAAGTTTAAACGAAAGGCTATGGCCACGAATATTAAATTTGAGAACTTTGAAAAATACGAAATGACAGTTTGTTATATGGTGGTATCCGTTTTGCCGAAGACAGACTAATTTTCTTCAGTTCTTCATCTGTGTTCTTCTCGCTTGTAAGGCTGAAGGATCGATATTGTATATGTGATGGGTGGTGATGAGACTCAACGTTGAGATATCTATGGGTGCGTGTTGGTTTTCTATAGACGGTTCCCAGGATCCATCTTCGGTCCTTGTGATGTGTACATCTAGAAAGGGCAGACTGTTCTTTTCAAGTCCTATTGTGAATTGAATCCTTGGATGAATGGAATTCAGATGGTCAAAATTTTCAAAAGCTCGTCTTTGCCAAAATACTATACAACAAATACGTCATCAACGTATCTTGTCGTCTCTATTGCGTTCTTTCGAAGCAAATCATGTAGAGGTTAGCAATCACAGGTGAAAGAGATGATCCCATTGCTGCTCCATCCACTTGTCGATATATTTTCCCTTTGTACGTGAAATAAGCAGTGTTCTGACAGATCTGTTATATAAAGCGGAAGATCTTTGTTCTCTTCTATTACATCGAAGCTTGTTCCGTTAGTTTGTTGAACTCGGACTGGAATCATGCAGACGTTTCGCCAAGATCTCACTTGGCATCTTCAATGCTCGCGCTCATATATTTTGTGATTCTGTTTCATTGCTACTGCCCTGGACCGGTTTGATTTATTGACCCAAAAATGTTAACCATTATTACAGTCATGACCATTTGTCGTGTGTGAGACTATACCCAAAAAGATTAATATTTTTCAAAAAACATCTTGGTACCTTATAAAAATTAATATAAGGGTGCTCTGTTACAATTGACCTTAGTATTAAGTACTCAGTAACCTTTTACGTTTACATTTGCGTCTTATGTGGACCGTACAACTATATTCTTTTGCACTTTTCAGAAAATATCGTCCATATGGACAGTCTGTGGTCGACGACGAAGTGTGCGTGCACGGGGCGATCCAAAAAGGGAGTCATCAACGAAGAGGAGTGCTCCGATACGTCAAAATCGGAGTCGGAGTTGTCGGCCGTCAAATTAACCGTCGCCAAAACCGCTAAACCGCGACGTCGGATCGCCTTCAACTGCAGAGAAATAAAACGGATCATTCCGGACAAAATTCTCAGGTGCTTCGGCCAAGACGAGATAGAAATGACCAAACTCGAAAAAAGTAAGTGCGCTTAATCATATCATAAATCATGATTTATGTTTTCCGCAGGGATTGATTCTGAGGCCAGCGATTTTTTATTATACAACTATTGCCGGATCCTTTCGTACTTTCTTTCTTGAATATGCTGTATGCGATAAAAATAGTTTTGGTTAGTTTTACCCCAAAATATGTGCATTGAAATGCAAAAAATGCAAATATGCATTTGCATTAAACGAAAAATTGGGAACAATAATGTTATTTTAAATATACCCATAACTATTTCTTTACAATTAAACCACAGACCTATTTGAATAAATATAAATAAAATCAACAAAAATCGTAATAAAAAAATTGAATTCATAGAAACACACATTGATACTTACATGGTAAATTGCACAACTTAAAAATCTAAAAAATAAAAATCTTACAGGAACAAAATATTATTTGCGATTATAAAAAAAAGGTAACTAAACATATGTCTAAAATTCGAAAAACTTCGCTCAATATCTGCAGAAGTTATCGCAGAGTATTTTCGTTTTGGATATATGTGCTAATTTATACAAAACCTAAATTAGTAAAATTTCGTATGAAAACTTATGAAATATTTTTTAGGATTTTTAAGCCCATGTTATTTTCAATTATTGACATAATTTTTTATCAACGGGTATCAACAAATGCAGTGATTGCTTTGTTTACATAAATATTAAATTTTCTTTCACTAAGATGACCATCTGACTTGACGAACCTCTAAATTCAAGTCGAGCGGTAAAATCTCCGAAAATATCCGATTGCTCCCAAACCCGGGCGTATATACGTAAACTGCAGACGCCTAAGACATAGCCGAATGATTCGGTTTTCTTCAATTTATCCGACCAATAAAAAAGGGTGGTAAACTGCAGACGTAGTTGGTCCTTGTAAAAGGACATAAAATATTGTAGAATGTCTGCAGCTTATGCTGTTTTTAAAATGTAAATAAAACACCGTATATATACTCAACTACTTTAATTACATACTTTTATGTAAATCGAATACATATTATGCTCGCGAAAATCACTATTTTCTAAATTTATTGTCACCTAGACCAATGTTATCCTCTACACATTGTTGCAATTTGTGTGGTACTCTTTTTTGTTGTTTCTTGTTAGACTTTTGAGGTTTTCGTTCAGCTAACGTTGCTCTTCTACCTGTCATTGTAACTTTGCGTCTTGATACTGAAGTCGGTTGTACGGATATTTTTTCCCTTTTTTTAATACCACCTTCCTCTTATTTTTAGACGAAATTCCAGTATACTTGAAAGCACAATGCAAACCTGATATCAAAGACTGATTGCATTTGGCATACTTGCTACAGTTGTCCAAGTATTTCACTATAGCGGGTCCAAAAGATTGAGGCTCACTGCTAAGCTTTGACATTATCAAGTTTGAATGTTCTGCCCATTTATTTTTTATTGTTTCTATGTCAATTTCTCCCTTCTCTTCAAATTCCATGGCATTATTATTCACGTCATTATGAAAAAACATTCCGTTTTGTACAGAAAAATTACTATCACAAGAAGAAATGTTCTGGTTTGAGTTTTTTGCTGTAATTTCATTAATTCTCAGTGTATCAAAAGTTGATGAATTTGCAATTTTTCCCAAAGCGATTTCATAAAGGATATGTTTGGAAGAAAGGGATAAGGTATTAATTGCTGTAAATATATTATGTTTTTTTGCAACAGCTCCTTGGTGTTTGCAATAGTGGCCATTATAGCCAATTGGACATGAACACTTAAAAACGGACATATCTACGTCGTACAATATTTCTGGATCCTTTGAACTATTAACTTTAAAATCCATGATTCCAACACTGATAATATTGTGAACTTCATTGTCTCTTTCGTCTGGAAAATACTTTTTTGCGACAGTTTTAGAAACTCTGTTAAAGATAAGGTCCATAACACGCTGTACAAAGTAAGATTCAAAACTAGTGATTATGAAATCTGTCAGTTGCGTTAAATTGAACGCTTTTGTTCTTTCCAATGGTATATCTTTTAAAAGACGAAACATAACCTCTGTGTAATTGTTTGTATCAGATCCTCGAACCCTGAAATTAGTTCTGTACAGTGAACACCACATCTCAATCCGATGAAGCATATGCTGTACATAATCAGCATAATTCTGATATAAGCACTTTTCGTAAAATGTCATTATAGCTATTTCAGTATCCTCAATGTTTTTTGACATTAAAATATCTTTAAATAACCTATAATGAAGTTGAGCATATCCTTTCAAAATTCCATTTTTCGCCAAAGTAATCCATTTCCAACAAGATTTCAAAACATGGAAGATACACAATAACATATTTGAATTTGGCCAGATCATTTGAAGTGATTTTCTTTCAACAAGATCGTCATCAGTTAGAATTACTGAAGGTGCAATTTTGATGGAAAGAATTTCATGCAACGATTTAACAGCGTCTAAAAAAACTTCTAATTTTTGACTGTTTGCTAAAATGCACCCAATAGGCAGTCCATCAGAAAAGTATACTTTATGCTGTTCTACGTCGCAGTTACCTGAAGAACTTTATATAATATACCATGATTTTTTTTTGTTCGGTTAAATATTTTTCAAGATAAATCAGCATATTTTTTCCTGATCTTTTTCCGTATGATGTTTTGAAATTAGCTTTCCAGAGGTTTTGCACGTCATTCTTAGTGGGGAAAAAGCATCTATCTTGAACAAGATTGTCATACTCGTCTCCGTATTGCACCATCATTTCGACACAGTACGTGTGATAGGCACTAGAAGCATTATGCCCATGCTGAAATAACTCAAAAAAGCTGTGTCCCCTATTGGTCTATAGCGAAGTGCAGCAGCTGACAGTATGATATGGTTGTCATTATTCTTGAATTCAATTACGCATGGCCAGGTAGCAACAAGATCATTATGATCTGGCGACTTTGACTGGACAAGTTTCCGTTCAATTTTAATATACAATTGATGTGCACAGTTAGTATTTCTGCTTCGGGATAATTGTGTGTCTTCCGTTCTAGTGTTGAAGTGGCAGTGGTAGATAACTTTTGGTAATTTCTATCGAAAATAAGTTATTTGGGTCCTAAAACACCTAAATCGATGAAAACAAAAAATTGTCTATCAGTCTGTCGGAATAAACTATAACTCAATAACATCTTGAGCGATTTTAAATAAATATATTACGAAATTCTAGGAGGCCTTGAACTGATTAGATTTTGGGAAGTATAGTAGGGTTCTTAAGGGGGTAAAACGAGAGTTGAAATATTTTGAAAAGTCATAACTTTTAAAGCAAGGCTGCTATCGCCACGAGCTTTTCATATTTAAATTTCTACTAACTACTATTACCACTACTGTAACTTTGTCACTCCTTTAGTTTCCGAGATATTTGAAAAAAGATAAAAATGGTAAAAAAAGTGACATTTTGTCAAGAACGCCTTTATCGATTATAACTAAATATAGTACAAAAATTCTCTGTTAGTGGGCCTTTAAAATATCAAATTTGTTTGGAGTGTACAGAGGTTCTAACGAGAGAAAACGGGGGTTAAAGTAATTAAGAATATGAGAAATTTTAAAAAATGCATTGTTACGGGTTTTCATACTAAATAAAAATCATAACCTTAAAAACATATTCTATGTGTAGTTTTTTTTAAATCTTTCTCAGAAAGAAAATAATATAGAGTGAAAGTAAATTTCAAAACATAATAATTGATTGTATGGTGGACTATCCGTGCTTTCATGCACCAATTTTTTGCAATAAAAGTAGATTTTCAGCAGATCAGTAGCAGTATTCTTGAAACTTTTTTTGGGGAATGTGAGAAATATTTCAACGACTGATTTGCTTTGATTCAAACGTGAGAGAGGCGATGATTTTGCTGTGGAATAAAATTTCCTCAGAATTCAGGGAAAGATCACAGTATTACACAGGTACAAAAATGAAGATATTATCGGATACAAAATGCTCATACCTATTTTTAAATATCTGAGAATTAAAAAAAGACACAACCTAAGCGCTATTCAGTTGCGAACAAAATTGTTTGAAACTATATTTATTTTCTGTATTAATTTCCGAAATTGAAATACATAGTAACATTGGCAAATTCGAACGCATTCAATTTTGAAATTCTTTAAGCTATGAGAATCGTGATAGTAATCGCAATTACTTTGGAATAGTAAAAATGACCAATATATAATTATAATAATAAGGATATCACACTGGCGTATCGAAAGGGGGGGAGGGGGGTTAGGCTATGTCTTTTGCGTCTGCAGTATACGTATATGCGACCCGGGCGGTAGGGAATCTCCGTGCGGTATATCACGAAGTGGCTCGGATCCGTGGGACAATGAAACTCATGCGGTTAAGTGAGCACGCACGCTAGATCGGTGTTTAATTAGGTGTTTTACAGAATGGAGTAGGAAATAGTATGTTTATGTAACACGTGCGGCAAACGGCATTTGACTCACGAGTTTATTTGACACGAGCGGAGCACAGCGAAGCGAGTGTTTAATAAACGAATGACTTAAAAGGTTACCGAACGTGTTGCATATTGTACTTTTTCTACGTCTAGTTTTTGGTTACATTTTTTCCAAACAACACGAATAAAGTCACTGACATGGCCCTCATAATTGTCAAAATTCAAGGCATGGGAAATATTTCCGAAAACATTCGATTGCTCCCAAACCCGTGCGGTAAAGTCCCGGAAATGTCCGAAGTGGTTCGGATCCGTGGGAAACGAAACTGACTTAGTAAAGTGACGCTTCCCGCACGCTAGATCGGTGTGTAACTAATTGTTTTACAGACGGAAGTAGAAAAAAGAATTTTTGCATTTATTAGAGCTACAGAGGATGAGTGGTTAAGATCTTCGATAATTTTTTTGACTAGTTCAAAGTTCTGGGCATCAAATATAACATCGACTAATTAACTTCTTCAACGGTTTATTACTAGTTGTGGTGATAATTGAGTAATTAGAAAATTTACCTTATATAATCGAACACGTGAAACGTCCTCTCAGA